TCTTTCAGGACAGTTGACTGGAACGGAAAAAGCCTACTGGAACAAAACAGCGCCGATAGTCCCGTTATTTCTTCCAAAGGGGGAAGGGAAGCCCCCTCGAAGGGGGTGGTGAGGTTGAGCCGCGGCTTGTTGTCGCTCACACGCTAGTGCCCGGTGCGGTGTACACAGAAGGGGACCTGCGAGAGCTGCGGAGGGAAGTGGCGCAGTGTTGGATTTTGAAAGTGGATGAGCCGAGAAAAAAACTAAATGAATGTTAAGTTATAAACGCGGTGGACTTTTATGTTCCTTTGGGGCGGGGGGATATCTGTGTTGGTTCGGTTAGGGTTTGTGTTTAGCTTTTGTGTTAATATTACACTTTGAATAACGTACCCTACGGTAAAAGGAAAGCCCCAAGTTGCTCAGCTGGCAAAGCCGTAAAGCGCAACCGCCTAGAACCTATTAAATTTTGAACTCGGTGCCCTTAGCAACACTGGTTGTCAGGCGCCCCGTTCCAGGAGCCTCACTAACGGAAGGCGGGGAGCCCCGCCTATGCTTTCATCTGATTGGAGCATGAGGTGTCGATTTAGTGGGAACCGAGAACAGGGATTGGAGGTGGAGCTCGAGACTGACTGGCCGTTAGGGGCTGTCTCACGCCGGGCGAGTTATCTGCGCTTGTTTACGAGTTACAGCTCTCACTTAACTGGAGAAAGCTGTGAAAAGGATATCAGTGGTGGCCAACCCCCCCCAAAAAATGGATATTTTTACGGGCAGATGAACAACAAGAGAGAAGAATAAAAAAAAATATATTTGAAAATCATTTCGGTGATTTGTTCTTTTTCTTCCCCCCTCTTGACACTGGATATGGGTTCGGTTCGAAAGACGGTCCTTTTTTTCCTGTGTAGATAGGAACGTGTGGGTCTTACTCGATGGGACAAGGTTGAACGGAAACGCTCGCCACGATGTCGTGCGCCGAATGACTGGTGCGGCCTGACTTGAATGGAGAAAGCCAATGCCGTGTTGCTATTGGCTGGCTGTTCTTCGGTCGGAAGACGTGCCGCGAAAGCTGATTGGGTAGTTTGTCATGGTACGTCGGTTGCTGGGCGGTGGGGGGGGAAACGTTAAAGTTACAGATTCTCGATTGTAAATTTGACGGACGTTAAAAATTTAGTCGTAATTATACACTAAAACTGCGTTATCGTGTTCTACACGCGAAGTACGGGTTTAATACTTAACCACTTAAATTCTTTCCGATTATTTTTAATCACTTTTTGCTACCGGATCAAAAAGGGGAAAAATGTCGCAGATTCGCTCTTCTGGTTTTACGTAATGGGGTAACAGAACCGGTCAAAATGATGTTTTCTTGATTTAGAAGAAGTGTCTCAAAAGATCAAACTAAGAAATCAATATTCCAAATCGCGTTGAAAAACAAAAGGTAGGCTTTGAGGTCAATACATCTTCATGAACGCGTTCCGTTTAAAAAAAACTGCGGTTAAGTTATTTATAACAAAGAGCTTGAGTACCCTTGGGTTCGGTTTATGTGCCTTTTTAGAAAATAATCGAGTATTTGTACAGGGCAGTGGTGATTTGGGGGAAACCGTGCCTTTCAAGGAAGTAAAAAATCGCTTCCGTCTGATCCTGTCCGAAAGTGACTCCTAATGTAGAAGACCGTGCGATTTGGCTGATCCCAAATGCAGTTGTACGATTTATCCTTTGAAACGTGTAGAACGCACAAATGCTACAGCTTACATAAAACAAGTTTTTTTTTCTTTGCGATCTGATAAAGACGGGTTATGATAATGATAATAACACCGGAATATAATAGCTATTTATAAAGTCTCCGCCTGAACTACGGGGTTTCCTAAGGTTTCAAGCAGGGGCAAAGAGGGGGAAGGGCAGATAATTCTATTTCGATGCCGTCATCGTTATAGGGCTTTTTTCGCCTGGTGAATTGCGTGCGTGATAAGGGGCAGTGATCCATGTATTCAGAGAGGGTAGGTTAGGACATCCAGCGTGGCAGAGACATGCAAGCAGGCACGTAAAACTGCGCAGCCTCCCCCCTCCTCCTCCCTTTGTGTACGAGGGTTTCGCATTGCGATAAGTTAGATGGACGTGGTTCTTAAGGAAGGCAAAGCTTCTCCTTTCTGAAAACACAGCAGCTAGTTGTTTTTTCCCCCTCGTTGTAGACCTAGACAGGAGAACTCGGCAAAATGCGAAATTTGACGAATATGACGGAAAACGTATCGGAGCTTTTCGAGAAGTGATACGTGCAGATAATTCACCTTTTCGCCATTCGAGCGTCATGACAGGTCTATTCCTTGAATGTCGAAGTAACGGCAAGTCTCGTTTAATTTTAGAATTACCCCAGCAACTCCTACCCCTGTGACGCATAGACTGAAGACAATGTTTATGGTATTAAAACTACAGACCCTCAGTTAAATATAATACATGTAGAAATGACGTTAGACGAGTACTGGGCGGGATAAAAACAGACGTTTAGTCTTGCCTAATTCGGAGGGTAAACTTTCAGTACCACAGACATTGTCACGCAATACACACAGAGGCGAAACGGTCTTTGTTTCAAGCCCTTCAATATTCGTCTAATGTCCTGTATAAACAGTGTGTATTTAATCAAAGACTTGTTTGTGCTACGCTCATTCATAACACTTGTCCGTGAAGAACGTGTTCACGAAAAAGCAGCCCGAGCTAAACTAATGAAAGCACATGTACAAGGCCGAGGTTTTACAATCGCACGGACATTATGTAATTAAAATATGCGTTTGTTGCTTTTTTGGGAAGGAATTCAACTAGGCAAGTATCTGCTTTCCCGTCCTCTTTGCAGAAGGAACAGTCAGAGATGTAACGCAGCCCAGGAATAACCTTTGTCCCGCAGACTAGGTGGAACACATGACTAGTCTCTGCTTTCTATGGACCCTTTCCTCGTATCCCAGCAACTGAACCAAATCGAGGCTACAACCACAATACGTCCATTGTGCAGTTGTTAACAAGCGACATACCGGCAGTCTAACAAGCTTCAGTGGGAAACCGGTGGAATTTGGAATCTCCCCCCCTTCCAGTTCGGGAATAGATTATGATGTAATTGTAACAATGATAAGTTCTTCATTTTCATTGGCAAGCGAGTTAGTGTGCTTCAAGTAGAAAACTGAACACGAGTACCACGTTCCTCCATTTCAGGTACTGCGACTACATGGGAATTGATGGGAATAAATGCCGATGTTTATACGTATCCTGAATTCTTACATGAGCTTTAAAATATATTTTTTTCGATTGCACGGAATTTGAAGATGGGTTTTTTATCTAGAAATAAACTAACCTTAGACCTCAACAAATCTGATCAAGCTGAATATGACACACAGGCCCTGTGTTGCTAAACGTATATGACTATACTTCCATTGTTTGGAGTCAAAGTAATTAACATTAAGTATGCTTTTTCTCCCAAATTTGAGTACATACATGCATTGTAAACCTTATTGATTCTGACTACTGTTTCCCCTCTGGCACAACTTTACATACCCTAAAATACAATAACAGTATTAGCAGACATTTCCACCAGGAACCATAATTGTTCCACCTGAAAGGAAAATCACATTGCTTTAGGAAAGGTGTCAGTCCTTATTTAACATGACCTATTAAGATGAAACACGGAGGAGGTGCCCAAGTACAATGTAACTGATATACAGTATACTTTTCACTTGCAGTCTAATCTCCTATCAGACAAACAGATGAGTGATCTTCAATAGGGTACTGACTATGTAGTGTTTTGGTGGGCATGAGAGAGATAAAGCACTTTTGACAGCTTGATTATAGTGTGGTCAGCCCTGGGTTTTGTCAGCCACAAATGCAGGATAACAGATTTCCCTCTGATAACTCGGGGGCAAATATATCAGCTTGCTGAACTTGCAAAACGTCTGAGGCAGGAAGAATACCGTTGTCCACTAGGTATCAAAATTCATTGTATAGCTTTGGTAACAGGGTTTGTGTTAGAATTTTAAACAAGTAAAACAATGAAAATGACCAGTGTTAAGAGACCACTGGTGTAGTCTACAGTAATGGAAATCACTAGCAGATTATGACCATAGTTCATACTCAGTACTCAATGCTGACCAGATAATTATGTACATTTGAGTTCTGCAGAGTTAACCTCCTATAATTCTGTGTAATTCCCTGGAAGTGGTGTTTCCTGGATCATACTGCATACAATTTAAGGGCAGCCGACAGATGTTTAATAGAGTTTCTGGTGAGTGTCCAGTATGTGGCAGTTTTTGATGATGGCCTGAATTTTTGTCATGAACTGTGGTTTTGGCCACTGGACAGTCACAGATGGTGATGTGCACAAGAACTAATTTGGGCCCCAAACAATAGGATTCATAAAGATGGTTCTGTGCAAAAGCTAAAAGATTTTAAAAAATGAGCTGGGGGAAATGTTGACCTCAATCACAATAACCAAGTATTCGTTGCAAACATATTTTTTTTTACCTGTTCCTCTTTCCTTGTGTAGGACTATATATACATATTCTTACATATTTAAAAATATTGACGTGCCCTTCAAATTGCCTGCGACACATTTAAATACAATTTGATGTTGCTTTACATTGTAAAACTCTTATTGGCAAAAAGCATTAAATTCCTCAAGGTATTAGCAACCGGACTATTGGTGGAATTTTTTCACATAATTTAAATCACCTGTTAAAAACACGTTCTCTTAGAAAACAGGCACTCTGCCCAGTGTTCTGAGTGCCACAAGCCCTTTTGGCTTTTATCTTTAGAATTCAGCTATTTCTATAGTGAACATGTTAATGTGATGAATTTACCTGCAAAACCTGCTGAACTGTGGTCTTTAAAGACTGAGGGTGTGCACCACTGTGTCACGAGTAAAATATTTTTAAAATAATGGTTTCTAAAAGCCTTTACAAGCTATGATCTAGATTGTTTTTTTATTACAAATCTGCAATAAATGTAATGTACACTTCTGTTGTCATTTTGACAAATAAACACAATAGAAGTTAATCAGCCAAAAAGATACAGAGATTTATTTTGATATGGTGGCTAATAGTGAATACAAGCAATAGTTTTGTTGAGCAATTATGTTTTATGTATGGTTGCATCTTCAATCTTAAAAACTCATTTGGAGGGGGACAAAAAATATAATGTTTCAATTTTTTAGGGCACAATATGGAAATATTCAAGGTAGAATAATTAAACAGTCTTCTTCAGGGCAGACATATGCAAGCTCTCACTACAGACCCTAAACTAAAAATGTCTTCTGAATAGTCGCAAATCCTCCAGTAATTATCAGAATGATATATTGCAGTGCATGCTTCAATGATACATACAAAAGCAAGGAACAAATAATACATCTGCTTCCCATAAAAAATACATATTGTCACTTTCTCCCACTTGCTTCCTCCAGTAATGCCACTTGAAATGAAAAGAGCTAATAACTGTATCAGACTTCAAATTTATGGGAAAGACCTATCAAAATATGCTTTCAGAACAGAGTTACACAGATCATGTTAAATTGCTTTTTGTACAAAAGAAACCTTCCACCTTTGGCAAGCATAACTACAGCACAAAGTATTTAATAGCAATAAATGAAAGTGTTCAAGGTTGCTTCTTTTACATAAGGCTTGGAGCCTAACAGTTATGACAGAAAGACAGGTTTGTTCTCAATATGTAACTTACACTACCTGCAGTGCATCGCCTCTTTTTGAAAATTGTTTTCACTTTTTATTATAATTAAGACTAGTGCAGTTTAAGAGTCTTGCCTCCCTCAATGCGGGGCCTGTGACATTGCTTTGGAGACACCTGTTGAACAGACATATGTATTAATGTAAAATGTAGTGATCCTTCATAAGTGCTACCCTAAAAGAAAATAATGTAAACAAAAAACAGATAAATGATAATTGAAATTGTGTAATAGCATTATAATAGCAGGTGCTAAGAACGGAGTAGAATGAAGAATGCATTCAACACAAACCAACACATGCTTTTCAAATATCATTTTTGTATTGGACAGGGTGCACTGCTTCCACCATCTGCACAGTTACAAATGTTTGTGGAATAAAAGTGTGCATACTTCTGGATCCGTGTCACAGGTTACCCTTGGTCCTGCAAATTATACCAACTATATAAAGTACATAAATAAGTCCAAAGTCACTACACAATCTTGGAGTTCACAGACATTTCTGTGGAAAAGGCAAAAAGAGATCAAATCAGATTTCAGACTGCTGAAGGCTTCCAAGCAAGTCCCTGCTTGCTTTCTTCAACAGTGTGCATAAACTGTGAGTAAACTAGAATGATGCCCTTAAAGGCTGACAGTTTTTACTATACATTTTTCTGAAGAACAGAAGTTAACAGTACAAGGCACTGTTGTAATATAGGGGATGACCATCTTCAGGTGTAAATAGTGTCTACTGATGACCGACTGCAGATAAGGAAATTATCACAGTAACTTCTGTGGGTCTAATCAGAAGCAGTTTTGGCTGTTCGTGCAGTCTAGCAAGTTTAAATTCAATGGGTTCAGCAGTTCCAAAGACCAACTTAGCCTGAGAACTGAGAAAAAAAAATGGCAGTCAGGTACTCATCTTTGTTTCTGCAAGAAAGACAGTGCATCTGTTGTTAATTAAATGTTATCTTACAGTGATACTAGAGTATGTTAGTGTTGTGGGCCACATACTGGAAGTAAAGAAAAAGGTTGGAGTTAATTGGCCAAAGTTTCTGAGCAGTATGACATGTTGTGTTATTCAGAACAGTTTATGACCAGATACAGGTGTAAGTTATCATAGTCATTTTTCAAGTGCAAATAAAAAGGCATCTTGTTCAGCAAATCTGCAACGTTCCAATTCAGTCGATACAGCAGTAGAGATGGCAAAGAAGCTCTGGAATGTGAGGGTCAAGTTGATATCTTGTTTGATACAGGACCTCAGTTTTTAATCAATGTAATGGCTTGTATCTCTCACCATACCTATTATGAAGCAAGTCTTCGAGCACAAGCAGTTTCAAATGTGCGTAAAAAAAGATGACCTCTCAAGACTTCCAGTACTTGGAAGCCTAAAAATCTGATCTGGGATATAACCCAATCTGCCCCCTGGTAGAATAATGTCTAATATGAGCTCATAAGCATGCACATTTAAATTCCACAACTATTTGTGTTTGGGAGTTACAAGCAAAGTGCATACAATAACTTATCCTGTATTTATACATTAGCATAACATGAAACTGCATCAGGGTGGATTGCAGAGATTGTGAGGATTGCATTGCACAGAAAACATGAAAGCCATATTAATTAAATACATTTTTCAGTTTACAGTATTCCATAAAGACTTCATACATGTAGAAACAGAGGGCAAGGTGGTCCCCTTTTAATTACATCAATTAAATATTTGTTTGCCTAATGCTGGGATAACTACCGCCATTCAACAACTACCAGTTTACAAAGGTCAGTCCGTTTTTTCTACAGGTTTTAGAGAACATTTGGGTGACAAAAGGTAGGAAGGTATGTTATGGTTCCTTGTCATTCAGCTATTCTCTGCTCTGGGTCTCACTTTTTCAAAGTTCATGAACACATACAGCCTGGTTCGGAAACCAGCTTTCACCTGGACTGAGCGGCTTCTCTCTTTTAACTCCAGTCAGTGGCTCGGAAAGTGAATAGAAAAAAAAATGGCTGTAGTTACACTCCGCATGCCGAGACACTCCTGCTGAAACTTAATACTGCCCTCTGCTGGTCGCCTAGCGACACTGGCTCTGCACTAGACTCCCTGCCTTTCAGAGCAGCTTCAGATTTCCAGTTACATTGTTAACCACTTCCTCTTCACCAATAACTGCCAAGACGGTTCGGGATCCAGACTCCACCTAGGCAAAAAAAAAAGAAAAAAGGCCTCTTTTCATAGATATGAACTACTTACATGTGTTCTATACATTTCCAGACGCATGCAGTTTTAACGTCAACTGTTTTTGGTGCAGATTGACTTAAGAGACTAATGGCTGAACTAACATTGAAATGTGCTTTTTACAAAAGGACCTCTGTTTTCTCATCCAAAAGACAAAGCAAAAGGAGGTTCCATATTCAAGGTTATACATAGGAAGTAGTTCAGGTAGGTAGTTGTGTCAGCATGCGTAGGCTGCAAAGGAACAAGTTAAAGGTTTATTCCATGCTGAAAAGAGAAGAAAAGAAACATAACACACCCGAAGAAGGCTCCACAGCGGAAAAGTGTTTCCTTTCTTTTCTTTTCAGCATGGAATAAACCTTTTATCTTGTTCCTATACATAGGAAGGCTGAGTTTGTACTGGGAACATTTTAAAAATTTGA